TTCCTAGTTAAGTTGAGAATCCAATCGTCAGTGCAGGCGATACAAGATGCACCGGCATGTGCATCGTCTGATGTAGTCCCGAGCTTCTTTGGAAGGCGAGGTATGAGCCTTGTAGCAAGGTCTAAATGAGAAAGAATATCCCAAGCGTATCACGAGTCACCAGATTGCATGTAGTTGAGACGCATAAAGTCCCCGAGCTGTGGTCGGAGAGTAATCGAGCGATCCCCGAGCACAAAGGCGGCATCAACAAGTCACCGAGGGAGCGCCGTCATCTTCAAGCCAACCGGCGAAAGCTGTGGTCTCGACCAGACCCGAGCATCGGCGGGGCCATCTTCTTCAGCTCGATCAATGCGAGTCCCCGAGACCCGAAAGCACGATGTCGGGGCCTGGCGAACAAAGAAAAGCAGCGTGACTCGACCAACAATAGTATTGGCTATAGCTATGGAAGAAGATGTAGTTGTGTTATTGTAAACTTGGACCCTTTCGAGCAAACTTGTAATAACATAACTGTATATCTACATAAGCTTGTTTGTTTTGTAAAAACGTATTTAAGCTTGAATATCATGTTGGTGTAACTAAGTGAGAACATGTTAGCGTTTCTTTTAGTTGTACCAGGTTTAGTCGACACGTCATCCTGAAAGGTTTGTATGGCTGGTTTGCCCTTCAGTGGTCGGAGTGTGAGGTGCGTAGCATGTGCACACGTAGACGCACACAAGTCAAACCAGAGAGGACCTGCCGATCACCCGTAGCGTAGAGAGCAGATCCCATGCACGCGTTGGGAGGAACCGGAGACAGGGCCTGCTCCGAAAACCCGGGAAGGAATGGTGGTCGGTTTTGACTGGTTGAGTTAGAATATCCCAAATGTATGCGAGTCGCCAGTCGCATGTAGTTGAGACGCAAAGTCCCCGAGCTGTGGTCGGAGAGTGGTCGAGGCAGTCCCCGAGCACAGGTCGAGGGGCGAGCGACAGAGTCCACGAGTTGTGGTCGGAGAGTCGCCCGAGCAGATCCCGAGCACGAGTTGAGGCGCGCGGGCGAAGTCTCGGCGTAGCTCGAGATTCCTGCAATATAAATATGTAGAATGGTAGTACATAATGTACAAAATAATAAATTATGGAGAAAAATCAGCGGTGAAGAAATAACGCTTTCGGCGATTTGTTTGCAAATGAGCATGATGTGATAAAGCAGTTGGTGCTTTGTAAACATCAATGTTAATGTGAAGTTTGTGTTTATACTTAATATAAATCGTCCGACTAGTTAGTATGTAGCTGAGCTTCCAGCCCTAACTAGCCCGTTAACCATAACGCTGGCGCGGAGCCCGTTGCGTAATGTAGGAAGAACAAAGCGTCGCTAAGGAGCCGCTTGCCGACCACCCGTAACACGTAGAGGTAGACGCTAGTGCACGTGTAGGGAGGAGCCGGAAACAGGGCCTTTTCTGAAGACATCGAGCGTCAACATGGCTGGTCGAGGATTTGCATTAAGTATAGCTGTATGTTATATTTAAGATTGTATACATGGACAAACGTTATTTGAAGAATAATCATGACAAGGACGTTGTGGAGAAACGTCGTAATGAAAATTATATTAAATATAAATATTAGAAGTGTACTTATCTTTGATAGAAATCTGGTCGGTGGCGATGTTGTCCGGTCCTCGAGCTTTTCGGCCTGTTGTGACGGTGGTCGCAGTTGTCACGGTGTGTGGTCGGAGCGACGTCGTCCTTACATTAGTGGTCGGTGACTCGGGCAGCTCGCGATCGGCGATGGTGTAGGAGCAGTAGGAACAACCTTTGCGGCTCTTTGGAGTACTCGTCGTCGTCGTCGGCTTGTGTGGTGATCTAACTTGGACTTGTAATGAAGTATTAGATGCTATGCAAGAAACGGTGACATATACATGTATACGCACTCCATTGATGCATGGCCCTCGTATACCACATATATGCTTCCTTGGTTGCATGGTTCTGTAACATAGCACGGTGGCTCCTTGTTTGCTTGCATGGCCATGACGTTTGCATACATATACCCTACCCTACGATGCATGCATATATCCATATATGCATTGGCCTGCTGCTTCTGTTTGCTTGCTCGTAATAAGAGGAACGTCTTGATCGATGAAACCTTGAGTTGGAAATTCCGTGTCGATGCCGTGTTTGGAGATGGAGACGGCGTTGTAGTCAACTTGTGCTCGATTTTGATACTTGGGCTTTAGATCGGATCTGATAGTCTCGTGGAGAGTGGCGCCGTCTTGGAAATCCGGCGTGGTGATCTACATGACAGAATCGTTGCTTTTGCTATTGTTGTAGAATCCGAACACGGAGTGGTGCAGCGAGAAGTCCCGAGCCGCACGAAGTGGTCTCAGCAGTCCCCGGCGCGAGTGGTTCAAGCGAGAAGTCCCGAGCACGGAGGTGGTCTGGCGAGTCCCCCCGAGCACGAGTCCTCGAGCATCGTAGTGGTCTTGGCGAACCACTGAAGCATGAGCTCGCTGACCCGAACTGTGTTCTGAAAAATAAACACGGAGAGCGGTAGTACATGATGATGTACGAAATATATTGACCTCTCTCTCAGAGGAGGTGAAGTAAACACTTGGTGTTCGGTTGGCGATGAATTATACTTGGTGTAATATTCAAAAATAACATTAGCTGTTTTTAGCCCTTTTGTTATGTAGTGGCGTGGCGCGATGTATTAACTCGTCACGAAGAATCGCCACCTGGGCTGACCAACATCTCGTGGCGCGAGGTACGCAAACGTTGCCGTCGTGAGTGCCGGTGTTACCGGGGAGCGATGCCGACTACCCATAAGCGCGAGGGCGGACTCTCATGCAGCGTGGGGTGGAGCCGAGAGGCGGTGCGGCTGCAGGATTCTCAAGCAGGAAGGAAAACGTATCGGCGAACCGTTGTAAAAACTTATACATGTTTTGGATTGTATGTATGGAGAAAATTCGACGTGGAGCGCACCCTAAGGGTGGTCGGCGGAGGTGTACGATGATCGAAGAAATTTTCAATTAAAAATAATACTTAGCTTTATTGACGACCGGTGGGTGTAGTCGGCGTGTTGCGATGTTTGAGAGATGGCTTAAGGTGGCTCGCTTGTGGCTCGGCGCGGCTCGCTCAACGGCTCAATGCGGCTCGCTCAGCGGCTTGATGGCTCTCGACGTGGCTCGGTTCCGGTTCGTTGTCTTGGCGTGGTCGGAAAAAGGCTCGAACGAGCAGGCAAGGGAGTTTATCCCGTACGGACGAGTCTCATACAAACACGTACTAGTAGTACCTGCTAATCATCTTGTATGTAAGATGTACGTCATCCTTGCTTATTGGCTGTTGAATCTTCTTCTGTTCGGATTGAAATCTTCATGCACGCATGCTTATATGCACCGGCCAATCAAATATCTTGGATTAAATCTGACTTGCATGCATTTGCATGTACGCGTGCATGCAGCAGCCAACTGATGGATGTGGTCGTGCTTGCTTGACGTGTGGTTGTTGCTCTTGGCTTACATCGAACCGTACAGGAATAGGAGTTCGTCGCCGTCGCCTGCACAAACACCGTGAGGCCGAAGATGGGTGCGCCGATCTAGCTGTCCACCGTGAAGTGGCCACGATATCCGAAGCCGTGCTGCTGATCGTCGACGCAGTAACCACCGGTCCACCATGGACATGTGCGTGTGGTGTCAAGTTCCGTCTCCTCGTGCAGCGGCGTGTGACATGAAAAAACGCTCGCCGCCGAGCGACGAAGATGAATCAGATCGCGGATGAGAGAGACGGGTTGGCACATGCAGAAACAATTAATCTGTATTAGATATTCGAAGAACAAATTGATCTAATCAACAACGTTGCTAAGAACGACTCACCTGATTTTTAGCAGATGTTAAGAGAAATTTCCAATCTGGTTCGCCAAAGGATCAGCACGCACGACCCCTAAAGGGGACCCCTACCTGGCGCGTCACTGTCGACGAAATATGGTCGGCAGTCCACCGAGGGGGTGCCCGTGGTGGTAGATAATCGGTAGAGGTGCGCTTAATCAGGAACCAGATGGTTACAGAGACACAAGACACAAGATTTATACAGGTTCAGGCCGCCAGTGTGGCGTAAAACCCTACGTCCTGTGTTTTGTTATTTGTATTGAGATGTTGTGACCTGTTGTGAGGCCTGAGATCCGTTTCCTAGGGACCCCTTCCTCTCCTTATATACTCTGGAGGAAGAGAGTTACGAGTAGAATAGCCTATTTGGTACTATTACAATAGCCTTGCCGTGCGCAACACGTCTTTATCTTCTGGGCCGGGCCTTCTTGATGGTGCGGCCCATGTGCCATCTTGTGGTACCTGGGGGTCCATTCCCCCACAGCTAGTCCCCGAGCGCCTTGTATTCTTCGAGTAGCGCCGTCTTGAGCTTGCCAGAAGGATGTAAGGGGTTCAAGATAAAATTTGAAAAATATTTCCCCCGAAGTGTGCCCACTTTGACTCTGAGTCGAAAAGAGACACCGTCGTCCTTGTAGAATCGGAGGCGTTTGATCCATCAGATCGAGCACATTCACCGCAAGGTGAAGTGTGCCCACTTAGTCCCCGAGCCTGGTAGTAGGTGACGTAGGCACGTGGTTCCAGGGTCTAAAAAAGTCTTGTTAATTAGATACAGCATGCACCATCAGGTGCATCGTACCGATGTAGTCTCCGAGCTTGCTGGAAGGCGAGGTATGAGCCTTATAGCAAGGTCTAAAGGAGAAAAAAATATTCCAACTGTATGCGAGTCGCCAGTCGCATGTAGTTGAGATGCGAAGTCCCCGAGCTGTGGTCGAGACAGTCCCCGAGCACAGGTCGAGGGGCGAGCGGCGAAGTCCAAACTATGGTCAGAGAGTGGTGCGCCAGTCCCCGAGCACAAGTCGAGAAGCAAATGACGAAGTCCCCGAACGTAGCTCGAAATCCCTTTAGAAGGAGCGTCTGGTCGGCGATGTATGGCATTATCCCTTTAGAAGGAGAGCAGTACGCATCGGCTGGCCTACACCCAGACAGGGGACATGAAGTGGATGATCCTCGACGTTGCCATTGGGGAGAGGGACAAGCTCATCGACCTGGCCTACGACACCGACGACGACAAGGTCTACTGCGTCACCTTGTTGGGAGACGTGCACGTGCTCCACATCCCCTAGCGACAGCGACGGAGGCCCATCGTTGAACCCTTGTTGACCGAGTGCGCCGGCCTCCCATTCGACCCCGCCGCCGCCTACGCCCCGCCCTACGACATGACGTCCATGTTCACAAGCGTCAAGCATGTCTTCTTCTTCGGCGGTAACTTGTATCAAGTGTGGCGGAACGCCACCAGCGCCCGCTCTTGGCTGACGCCGGACGGTGGCCGGTTCGTCATGTTGAAAGACCACATCTTCGTCCTCAAGTACAACCCCGAGCGCCGGCCATGCTGGGACGCAGTGACAGACCTAGGAGGCTACTCGGTGTTCGTCGGCAAGAACCATCCTGTGGTGCTGCAGCCAAAGAATGCGCCAGGCGTGACGGCCAACTGTGTGTACTGGATCAACGAGCAATCGAGGAATGAGCCCATGGTGTTCGACACGGTCACCGGGACCTCGACACTTCACCCTTCCACCGCCAAAGCACTGTCTCCCTCGTGCAAACTAGTTTGCTGCTGGTACTTCTTGGATGACAAGATTACAGAGGTCCAAGACTATGGAAGAAAACCACGTCTAATAAGTATAGATCATTGCGAGCAGGTCTCCAAGAGTAGTCGGAAGGCTCACTAGGGCTGGGTCACGTACGTAGAATTATCATGCATTAGGAAACATTTCGTCTCCTTCCGATGTTTATAGAGCACCTTGGCTAGGTGATTGTGAGGGACAAGTTAAATTGCAGTCTCTATCCTACTGCATTTTTTCCTCTTAGAGATCCATCTGCAGACCCATAATTTTTTACTAATTCACTATGTTAGATCTGATAATCATTGACGGGTCGGAAGCCCCGTCAGTGCCAAAATTCATGCTAAGGGAGGTTAATCGGCAGTGACAGGGGTGACCTACCACTGCCGGATCGGCGACTCGGCAATGATAATGGTACAACAACCGGTAGTGATATTTACGGATATCATTGTTGGGTTGGCTTATCAACCAGCAATGATATTTTCAGTATCACTGTCGGGTTGACACTTGAGCCAGCACTTAAACTTAATATATCACTGTTTTGGCTCGTGCTTGAACCCGGTTGTGTTGTGCATGACATCACTATCGGCTCAGCACCACACCCGACAGTGAATTTGTGACTGTCACTACCGGCTGAGCACCACACCTGGCAGTGAGTAATGCTCCAGATACACCAGATATATAGCGCAGCAGAACACAGTTACAGTGGACCAGAGAAGTTACACAGAACACCTCAAATATCCATAATGTATACATATACATACACAAGTTGTCTAGAATAACAAATAAAGTAGTACGAATTTGTTCTCGTCTCCGTATAAACTGTAAAACTCATCTCTATCCTCAAACACCTTGTCCATAAGGAACCCAATAAGTTGTTCTTGTATTATATTTCACATATCTCGAACTCTAGCAACAGATGGTCGTGTTGCTCCTCTCTCTGTCATTGAATCAAAAATTTATTAATAAGATGCACAATTAACATATGCCAGAATAACAGAAGTGTGTTGATCCTGCAGGCAACGCGCATAACCAAGCAACCGGTCGAAACAAAAAGAGACCTCAGACTATCTCCAATAGGTGACCCATATGGGCACCCAAAATCAAGCTTCAACAGAGTACCTATACGGAAGACCTATTTTGGGTTGTGTGAGAGACACAACCAAAATATGAGTATCATCTCTCCTGAAAACCCATTTGCAGAAATGATTCTCTTTTGAGTCCTGTTGTTGGAGATGATGTCGAATGGGTATTGAACCCTTTGACTGTAGCGCTACCCAAATATTGAATGGGTCTTGTATTTTGGGTGTTGTTATTGGAGATAGTCTCAGTGTTACTTTATTGGGTTAGGCTGAAAGAGAAAATTGATCCATGATTTTTAAAGAAAACAAAGTTATGATGATTTTGATTCTAACAACCTATATCTAAACAGACTTTGAAGATAACAAAACTACTGACAATAAATATCAGAATTAAGAAGATCTATCGGCAAAACTCATGGCCTTAAAGGGCACACACTCGATTTGAGGTTTAAAATGTTTATTATACCACATTTACTTGAAACCTGTTGTTTTTTTTTTATGTAAAATCATTAATTACCATTTTGTAAAATGTTTTTTTCTAGAACTTCAATAGACTTTGATTTATTCTAGTATATATTTCTTAATGACCAGAGACTTGATATAAACAAGGATGAAATTGTACCCTGAATTTAATATAGTTCCTTCCCCTTTTTTGAAAAAAAATACAAAAATGCTAGTAAATGCTTTGGTGTCCCAATTTCATGCCTTCCGGGCTTCTCCTCGCTATGGGCCTGAACTGCCTCTATTGGGTCTCACTGTCTCGCGGACTAGTCCAGCCAGTGCGGTGTTCGTTCTCCATCGACCTCCCATAGCTAATCACAAAAAGCATCGTGCTTCCTCAATTCCTCTCATCCCCTAATCCTTTCTCCTCTTTTCCATAAATTCCCTGCCAGTCATTCGTATCCCAACCCAATAAGCTCACAACAAGACTAAGGGCTCGTTCAGTTCCTTGGAACGATTTCTAGCCGTAATGATTCGCTAATTTGTATAACGATGCGTCAGCCGAAATAGCTTCTAGGCTCATTCTGGGCTAACCAAACGAGCCCTAAGGTGATGGCCTAGTGGGGAAGAAGTGCTCCAAGTCTTGCACCGCAGCAGCAATACCTTCTTGATTTATTGTCTGTTGACGGTGGGGCGTCTCCCGTCCATGTGTGAGCCCTTCCGTCAGTGTGGCTTCACGATCCACACCAAAACCATTCGCAGCCAGACCACGGACCCTATCTCTCCGCTTGCCTTCTTCCCGCTGCTATTTGGACTAACCTGGCTACTAGGATGCCTAATGCGCCGGCTTCTGCGATTACCGGACAAGAAGAAGCAACCCAGTTCGCGATGCCTGTTTGCTTGGATGTAACATGATGGATATTTTTCAAAGATTAATTCAAACTATATCATTATAAATATTATGGTTTGAAGATTTACCGTTACTACTCAACTATTTCGAACCATTCCGGTGTCAGTGCGGCTAGCCTCGCCCCCGTCCTCGTCACCTTAAGAACAGCCTACGCCAGATGCCATTGGACCTTCCTCGCTGCTAAGAGCAACTCCAAGAATTTTCAAGACCCACTTCCAATCTTTTTTTGGTAAGATTAAAAAAAATGCTTTCCAACAAGTCTCTGTCTCAATTCCCAAACTTTAGGAAAACCGACCTAATCGCGCGCAGATATATGCGCGTGCATATCCTCGGCCAATCCGAAGCTGAAAGGACGTGAGAAAGAATAAGGAATAGGACAGGGTTCATGATGCGAATATACAAGAGAGAAGTATAAAAATGATTTGGGGTGATTTAGAAATAGTCCGGGATTCCTAATGCAAAATTACCTTCTACCTTTTATGTGCGAGGTTATAGAAACTGCTGGAGCAAGCCAACGCGACAACAAATATGCTCCCAACATTTTTTAGTCGCTCGAAAAACTTATTGGCATGGTGCCATGGTTCGAATTAAACCTTTTTCAAAGCAAGAGAAGGCATACTCTATCTGTCGGGTTCATAAACCGGGGTCTCTCATGACCAAGCTTCCCAACGAAGGCTCGGCCAGAGGCGGAACAACGCGAAACTCATGGGCCGATCTAAGTACCTAAACGACAGGCCAGAAGGGCGATGCAAATCTCCGACCGGAAGGCCTGGCCGAGGAGGAGCAAGCGCTTGCTTTGAACTCCGCCCACCTCTTGAACCGAGCACTCACTTTTGATCTCCAGCCCGCCTCCGGACGGTCTCTCCGATCGGATGGCCTGGCCGAGGAGGACCGGCGCTCGCTTCAGACTCCGGCCCACCTCTCCGACCGGAGCCTTCGCCGGTCTCCAGCCCACCTCCGGATGGTCTCTCCGATCGGAAGGCCTGGCCGAGGAGGAATGATGCCCGCTTGGACTCGACCCACCTCTCAGCCAGGGAGCGCTCGTCTCGGTCTCCAACCCGCCTCCGGACGGCCTCTCTGATCGGAAGGCCTGGCCAAACACCGCTTCCGACTCCGACCCGCGTCTCCGACCAGGGATGCGCCAGACCCCTGCTCACTACTCTTCTCCGACTGGCGCGATCGGAGCCGACTGGAACCAACCGACCGGGGACGCCCGCTCGGTAAGGACCAGGAAACGGATGGAGAAAATAAGGCAGGGTGCATGAGTCAAACCGCAATACCAGGGACCATACCCTGCGCACCTGCCAGGCAGTACTCTGCGACCTCCCTGGCACGATAGAGCCCAAGCAGTGTTGTAGGCGTCGACATTTTCCCCTACAGTATTAAGGGCGCCATTACCTCCCATATGGTAAGGCTCCCCCCACATGCCTCTGGGCATCGACAGTGTTGTGGGCGCCGGCGTTTACCGTACCAAGCGAATATGGTAAAACACCTTGCATGCCTCCAGGTATCAACAGTGTGGCAGGCGCCGACGTCTGCCATACCCGAAGAAGACAACACAACCTCCCACATGCATCTGACATCCAACAGTGTTGTGGGCGCCTACCATCATCTTGTACCCATCGGCGTGGGCAACAAGGCTCAGTAGCATACGTACTCTCTCCCTCTCACTTATAAGGCCATCCCCTTCATCTATAAAAGGGGATGCGCTCTCTCCCAACAAACAGATTCGTTAGATCGATCAAGTTCACTGGTACACAACAGCAAAACCACTAGGTTCAAACCACGAGCACACGCTCGAACACTTAGCTCATAGCGGAGCTCCCGTCGCTCTCGGCCCTTCCGACCGGAGTCCGACCGGACCTCTTGTACCCCCCATCTCTCTCCTTCTCGTTTGTAACCCCACTATAAACTTTGAGCACCTGGACTCAGGAATAGAGTCACCGACCGACTCAAACTGGACGTAGGTCACGTTGTCTGAACCAGTATAAACCCTGTGTCATTGAGTGCTAGGCCACCTCCGATCACAACGTACGACAAAACTACAAATATTTACTTGTTGGTCACTTTCTGCACCGATAGTTGTCGCCGTCCATGGGGAAGACGATGTACGTTCAACACTTTTTGGTCATCGGATGGCCCACTTTTCCGCCACCTTCGCCATGGCGGGCTCAAGCGATATGACTCGCTTCGGCTCACTAGAGTTTCCCGCACTCCCACCTTGTTGGGATGTGGGTTCCACCCATCTTTGAGCCATCCCAGGCCTTCCTCTTTGAAAGCCTAGACTTCATCGCCGACCGGCTCGGCATGCTACACCTCCGCGAGGAGGCACTCATTCCGGCGCCCGTCGGAGGGACGCCCTCCATCGGCTCTGGGACGGACGATGACTTCAACGATGAGGCATCTACGCTTCATTCCGAGTAAACTCTCTGCTCAAACCCCACTGTGAGTAATGTACATACTGTTATTTACTCGCTATTTACTATCTTCCATCAATTATCCGGAGGGGTCGCATTGTCCGTACCACAACCACCGGTTCCCCTACGGCCTTGCGTCCTCCACGGATGCGTATGCCCGAGGGCTCCAAAAAATACTGACGCCACCCCCTTTCACATCCGAATTTGTGGGGATGGTGAGCTATGCTCCCACCAGTTTCTACGAACTCCTGGATGATGAGGTTGAGAGCGACGGCTCCAGCATCGGTGACATGGCACCTGGCCACCAACCGTCCCGGGAGTGTGCTATGGCGGATGCTCTGGGGCAGCCACCGGTAGTTGCGGAGTCTGTGCAGATTCACACCCCTCTGAAACCGCGTGAGGGGGCCCTCGCACTTGCGCAAGGGCATGTCGAGGAGCTACAACAACAGCGGCAGAACCATCCACCACCTGCGCCAACGCGCTCGGTACAGCACGTTACTCCCCATGCGCATGACCCGGCCGGCGGCGCTCGGGGTCACACCCGCCAGGTCCAGCGCGACATCATAAACGAGGGGAACGACCCCCCACAATTCACTTAGGCTAGCTAGAACATCGCCGCTGCGGCAATGCTTCGGCGTAGCCTTCCTAAGCCCGTCGACCCCCAGGAGCGGGCGGTCTACCGGAACCTCCGGGCACTAGTAGAAGCCACCACCGTTGATCAAGCGGAAAGCTCCGCATCGCGACTCCGACACGCGCCTTCTCTCCCCACTGGGGGAGTGGGGACGCGCCAGACGGATCACTCCATCTGCTCATCGCTACAGCCGCCAAGCGCGGCTCGGGAGGCAGCGGCCGAGCCACGGTCCGACCTGGTGCCTGCTCCGCACCGACTGCCAGTACACGAGCAGCCCGGTTCACACCAAGACGCTTGTAGCGTCATCAGCAATTGGCATCACGCCCTGCATGATGATGACGTCCACCGAGCGGCGATGAGGGCAGGCGACATGGGCCCCGGCCAAGCCATTGAGGGGAGCGGTGAAATGTGCCCCAGGCATGGTCGCCGGCCAGACGACCGGAGTCCCAGCCCTGAGGGCCCGAGACCACGAGCCTTTGGCCGGCGTATCCGGAGAGCGCCGTTCCCGCCGCGCTTCCGACCACCCACCAACATAGCCAAGTACACCGAGGAGACGAACCCTGGTATTTGGCTCAAAGATTTCTGGCTCGCCTACCGAGCCGGGGGGGTGGATGATGACCTTTTCATCATTCAGTATCTCCCCATCTGTGTAGGAGAACATGTTCGTGCATGGCTTGAATTCCTCCTGCACGACAGCATCCGCGACTAAGCGGACCTCAAGAGGGTCTTCGTCGGAAATGTCGAGGGGACGTATGTCCGCCCTGGTAACTCCTGGGACCTCAAGAGCTGCCAGCAGGAGCCCAGCAAGTCCCTGCGGGATTACATCCGCAGGTTCTCCCAACGGCGCAACTCCCTCCCTGATGTCGTCGACGTGGACGTCATCAGCGCATTCCTCTTCGGGAGGACCTATGAGTCCCTGATCCACAAGCTTGGCTGCTTGAAGCCCCGTATCACCCGTGACCTGCTCGACGTCGCCACTAACCACGCCTCCGGCGAGGAGGTAGTCGGAGCGGTCTTCAACGGAGGCCAGGACAAAGGCAAGGCCAAGCGCGCAGACCAAGACGAGGGCCCCTCCACGTAGAGGGGCAAGAAGAACAAAAAGGACCGGCGTCGACCGGACAACACCGCGTTGGTCGCCGCAACTGACCGCACGGGCAAGCAGCCCCAACAAGGCCTGCCTAACCACTTCAACAAACTCATGGATAGCCCATGCACCAACCACGCCTACCCTGTCAAACACCTCTATAAGGACTGCGAGCTCCTTAAATGTTTCCTCCGACAGGCTGGCGGGCCAAAAGAGGGAGACGGCAAAGAAGCAGCAGCCAAGAAAGGAGGCGCGGCGGGCAAGGATGGAGACGGCTTCCTCGACCCTGAGGAATGCATCATGATCTTTGGCGGATCCGATGCCATATGGACCAAACACCAGCACAAGGTGCGCTATATGAGATTTCATGTTACAATCAATTTGGAAAGTAAGAATTTGACAGGACTTGTGTAGAAAATAAGGATGTGGCCAGAGGAGGAGAGGGGGAAGACATGAGTCAAGATGGCAACGGGTACCCGAAACCCGAGTACCCGACGGGTTTTACCCGATAAGGAGGCGGGTATGGAAGACATTTTGCACCCGCGGGTACGTTATTGGACGAATTCTTGTATCCATCGGGTATGCGGGTATGGGTGTGGGTGTATATTACCCATACCCGCATACCCGCGGATAAAAAAAACTAGCATAAATAATATCCAACCTCTGCAATTTTAGTCCATATAAGCATATAGCCCATATTTGGCCCATATAAGCATATGAGTATATATATTCCAGAACTCCCTCAAACCCTAATCCTCATCCTCACTCCACTCCACCAGCCCATATTTCTGTTTTGCTGCTCTATTGTTGATTTGTTTTGCTGGAAGCTATTATATTTTGGTGTGTGAACTCGGGTATATTGTCGGGTAAGAATTACCCGTCGGGTGCGGGTATTGAATGAATTTTCTACCCGCCTGCGGGTACAGGTAACCCGACGGGTAAGATTTTGATCTGGCGGGTGCGGGTATGGGTGGCCAGTACCCATCAGGTACGTACCCGTTGCCATCTTGAGACATGAGGTTGGAGGTGAAGTGCTTCGATGTGTACACGTAGCCACGTAGATATAGAAGACGTGCTCCACGGACCGTGAAGACCAGGACACGTTGAAGAATGGAGCTGCCATCTAGGCTGACAAGTGGCACTGGATGCTATGTTGTCGATGCTAACTAGCGTCGATCACTGGATCAACAAAACTATCTCCAAATAGCACCTTAGAGGGTTATTTGCTTGATTTTATTAAATTTAGTACGTATAATATCTGATTTTATAGTTTTAGGTTATATAAACCACCCTAAAATACGAATTAGGGGTTATATAGACTTGTTCCCATTTCAAATGGGGCCTTAGAGGGAGTCCAACTAATGCTCTTGTGTTTACAAAATTCATGTGTATTTCTGCTAAAAAAAAACAAAATTCATGTGAATTTTCTTGCATCTGGTACAAAACTGAACTCATGTGAGATCACAGGAAAGGTGTTTCCCTTTCCGTCTAGTCTTTCGAAAATTTGCCATGCCGCGGTGCGGCGCGCGTGATGCGGAGGTTGCCAGCTTCGTCCTTCGTTCTAGCACCAAAACTCCGAAAGTTTGGAGTGCAGCTGGGGCGGGGAGTGAAAACATTCAAGTCACCCGCCTCCTCCCGAAATCGCCTCCATCTCCCCTCAAAATCCCCTGCTCCTCCCTCCCTTCCAAATCGTCTCCCCCCTCCGGGAACCATTCGCGCGGCTCCGATTCGTTCCGTCGCCGCATTCGCGCCGGCCTGGGCTCCGTCCAACTACCGTTGCAAATCCAGGTTCGTCTCCTCCCCCCTCCCCGTCTTACCCTTCTCTCCCCAGCACCTCCTCTTCTCTTGCTAGGCTTCCTGCTGCTTGACACCGGAGGCCGCCCCCGCGCCCCCTCCCCCTCCAGCGGTGCCCTGTTCGACTGCGGCGGTGGCTCCTCCTCTCCCCGATCCGGTTCCGGTGGCGCCCCGGCCCTGCTCGACCCCGACAACTGCTTTCCTTCTCAGACTACGGCGTCCGGCTCGACTCTGCTGGCTGCTCCTCTCCCAATCTGGTGGGTCTTTGCTGAAATCCTCATTAGTCTCCCCCTCATTCCTCCTGACGGCTGCGAGGCAGAGAGCGGAACCTGAGCTCGAAGCCGCGCGCCTTCTTCACTGCTCTTTGTTCTTCCTCACACAAGCGATTAATCACGTTTAATCTACGTTTGATCTTCCTAGGCGCCTGTATTAGATCTTATATAGCACATCTCAAGCCAGTATAAATATATGTAATGATGTCGAGTTTTTGTTTGCAGCCTTAGATTACATAATGTTTTTTTAATCTTTGTAGAAGTTTTTGAACTAATTCTAAGAACTGATGCCAATTATTGATGTGCCACCATAACTTGATTAGGTTTCAGGACAAAAGGAGATTCCATTTGGCAAATAAAGGCTATGCTAGAAATTAAGCCCATCCTAAAGTGCACGTGATGCATGTGCAAGCGCAAAGGTGCCAGCGATTCAAATCGAGTTGGGCCCACATGTGCCTGGAAATTTTTGAGCTCCGGGTTCAAAATTTCAGCGTCCCGCCCATCTCCCCGTTCATTTCGGTTTTCTTCCTCTTTGAATTAGAACCCCCCGCCACCACGGCCTGAAACACCCAAACCCATGAGATTCGCATCAGGGGTTCCAGGCGCCTAGATTGGATATCCAGGCGAGCTAATCGTGAGGAAGTTTTAGAATTCAGCCCCTTTCCCACCCATTTCTTTTTTTTTGATCAAATTCCCACCCATTTCTTGGTGTTTGATGCGATTCAGGGTCCTGCTTTTTGCAGATCTGGTGAACCTCTACGATCAGTGGTCGGAGCAGTAGTAGGATTTGGACCAGGCAAGTCAAGACTGCGAGAAAATTTGGTGTTGCTGCCTTGCTGGTCGACTCATTAGTGTTTATTTGGTGCTCACCAATCTGTCTCTCTGCCGTGTGCTTTCTGCAGAGCCCCCGAGATGCCTGACTCCAGGGACGGCAGGAGGCGGCCTTGCTGACCTCTCCGGCGGGGTTGGCGGCGGAGGGTTCTTTATCAGGAGGGTGGCCTCACCGGGAGCCCTGGCGGTGAGGGGTGCTGGGAAGCTGTTGGCGCGGCGTTATATGTTGCCCTCGAGGAACAAGGAGAACCAGCTGCCAGTTTGGGCGTCGAGGGCCACACTGACAAAGAGGAGCCCACTTCCTGGATGGTACCCCAGGACGCCTCTCCGTGATATTACAGCCATTGCAAAGGTATGCCTAGTATTTCAGTGCTACAATGTGAGCAATTTAACTTATTGAAGGTTTCATTGTTACTGTGCTTACATGCTTTATGAAGTGTGATTAGTTGTTGGAAACTTAAAGCATCTTCTCATTGTAGTTGACCTGCTGATTTCTAGTTGGAGTACAATTTGTGCCAAAGCAGTTTTGTTGGATTTCATCAGAATCAGACAATTACCCGATGGTCTTAGTGGACTGCAGTGATGTGCTTTTAGTTGCTAGTTTTACTGGAACATTTTATTCCAACAACACTGCTGAAAAGAACTCGTGGCATTCTTCTTCTGTTACAGTCATCACTTTAATCTTATCAGAGTTAGTCCCCTGTTAATTTTACATATCTAGACTCATTATCTGTGTTTAGTGCCAAGGAGAGTAAAAAGCATGCCAGTGATATATAATTTTAAGTTATTATACTTGGCTGTTTGGCACAGCTAGATTTACCAATTTCAGCTGATGAATGCTGACCTTGCAAAAATATTACTTTCTTTTCTTTTCTGCAGTATGGTCCAACTTTATATTACTGTCAGTAGCATGCAACTGAATGAGATAGATTATAAATCAGCAGTTCAGTTTCTGAATTTCTGGTGTCCTTTTTGGGGATTGTGTAATGAATCCAATGAGAATATTTGATTCAACAAGCTTGCTAAATTGCAGTAACATTCAAAATGGTATTCAAGCTGTACTGCACCATCTTTAACTTCTATTATTGCACAAAACTGAATTTCTTCTAAAGTATTGCTCAAATAATAAGCTGTTCTTACTTCCAATATTATGAATGGTCATTTTCTGGTGGACATGTTTACTTTTGAATTTTTTATGCGTGTGCTTATATCGGCCTGGTGCAAGCGGTAGAGTCTTACCGCCTGTGACCGGAAGGTCCCGGGTTCGAGTCGCGGTCTCCTCGCATTGCACAAGCGAGGGTAAGGCTTGCCACTGACACCCTTCCCTAGACCCCGCACAGAGCGGGAGCTCTCTGCACTGGAGACGCCCTTTGCTTATATCCACCATGTTATTCTATTACAAAATCAATGCACAGCATGTTTAAATTAGCTTCTGAATGCCATCATTGATCCTTCTGAAAATATCAATTTGTCTGTTTTATGTCACAAGGTCCAACCATATAGTTCTGTTGGTGCCAAGTAGGAGTTACTGATTGAGATTGATGATAAATCTGCTGTGCACTTTCCTACTTTTTAGTGTCCATAAAAATTTGGTATATTTTGATGGATCCAATGAGAATATTTAACTCAACAGGCTGGTTGAATCACAGTAACAATAAAATCAGAGTACAAGTTATACTTCACCCTCTCATGGCTTCACTGCTTTGTGTCTCGTTGCCATGCCATGTAGAATATGTATGACTGAAATTAAAAATCTTCTGAGGTATTGTATTGCTCAGATAATAACATGGACCTAGTTCCAACTGCATTCTGAATGGGGCATTTGTGGGGTGGACCATTTTACTTTTAATAGTTGTTTGTATCCACCATGATATTCTGTTATAAAATAAATGCTTAGTATGTTTATTAGTTCATCTGCATTTCATGCCAGCTGTGTTTAGTAATTCCTCTGCTATGCTTGCCTTAGTTGCATATTCCATTTGTCCCAAATTATAAGCCACTTTGGCTTTGTTAAGTCAAACTTCTCTAACTTGACCACGTCTAGTAAAATGTACCGACATTTACAACACCATTCAATCCACTATGCAATAGTATTGAGAGTGATTTATAATTTGGAACGGAGGGAGTAGATTATAGTTTATGTATGTCATCCAAAAAGTTTGATTATTCACTTAGCCACACTTAATGTTTGCCAATATTTCAGTCCATCTGTTAAGGCATCCTAAAGTCTATCCCCACATCATTAGTTCATTACAAAACCTGAACTACACATTCAGTGTATGTTTGTTCCCTTGCTAGCTTCCATCTTATTCTGACTGGCTTGCATGCAGGCCATTCAGAGAAGCCGTTCAAGGATTGCTGCAGCTCAGCAGCAAAGCCAAAGGATTGAGCAGTCTCCGCAATCTGTGAACGTGACTACTGCAGCACAAGCAGAACAGGATGCTCCTCACATTGCTGAAGCCTCCCATGCTGTTGCATCTGGCTCCGGCTCAACTGAAAGAGAAACTGTAGCAAACCCTGCTACTGTCTTGGTTGATGACAATTTGAATGTGTCTTCCTCGCCAGCAGAAAGCTCACTGAATACTCCATCCAAACCAATGGATCCTGCCCTTTCAGACATCGTTGAGAAGAAACTTTCCAGTTCAATAGAGAAGATAGAGAAGTTGGTGAGGAAAAACCTGAAGCGAACACCAAAGGCTGCCCGGGCCTCCAGGAGGGCCACCCAGAGACGCAATCTCATGTCCATGCGATGAATTTACTGCTGTACTTTGCTGGGGGGAAGAGAAGAAAGTCCACCTCAGGCTTGTCCTCCTTCCTCTTGTCTGCTGTTTCCTTAGCCGCTAGCCTAACTGCCAAGTGCCAATGCCCCGTCTGTGCTGCTCTTCTTCCAACACTTGCCATGGCATGATGCCCACAGCCCACGGCCATTCCTGGTTCCCTTCTCGAGGACCAAAGAATATGGGGCTATTGGCTCTCTGCTTGAGGTTCTAGGACTGCAGCTGCTAGTGAGGTGTGATCTGGTTCATGCTATTGCTGATGTATGCATACTTTTCTGTGTATCCCAGTGGGCCGTTGAACAAATGAAATCTTGAATTTACTTTTGTGCTGCACTATTACCATAACCACTAGTGTGAATATTTTCTTTTGTGGCTGCTTGTATGAACTTCAATATGTAGTTCAGTAGGTACTACGAGAAATTTAGCATAGTACCTATGCAGGACAGAGGTGTTTGTTCATGAACTCATGATTTCTAAGCTCCTACCTCCTAGTGTCAGATGCTTTCTACAACCTTGTTCTTCTATAGTAAGGCCCATGACCGAACTGCAAACATGGTGCTCAGTTGAGCTTGTGTTCTTCTGTTTCTGTCCTTTGGCACTATAATAAATCTTTCTTCATATTTTCCCTTTAGGTTCATATATTTTCCTTGTTTTCCTGCAGTGGATTCTAGGCTGGTAGCCCTCGTAGGTCGTGCAACAAAAGCTCAATGGCACCAGCAAGGACTGAGAATGCTGACCAATTCACCTTCCTGTCATGCACAGGATAGCTCAGGTCATGATCTAGCCGTGTGTTTTGCTTGCTTGCTTGCAACCTACCTGCTTGCGATTCAATTTCATCGATCCTAAAATTGATTGAGATTTTTTTACTCAGAGCATCCACTGTAATATAGCTACAAATATAATTCAGCAACATTGTAAACGCTAATAAAAGCCAAAGTATCAGATAAGGTAAGTAACAGGCTTTTAATTGGGTCTTCAAACAAATGAGAAAAATGGAGATACTGCAGTTGTGCAGTCCCATGCTTGTATTTTGAGTTGCCATCAGTATACAAGTCCAGCGTCCAGTTTTTGTTGTGCTGAAATTCAGTGGGCAAAGGACTCGATCCATGATTTGCTCATTTCCTAAACTCACTTGTTTGAAAAATTGCATTTTAATCTTCTGTAGAAGCCTTTGGTTACCTAATTATTGTGTAGATTTCTCTGTATATGTATTAGCAGAATCTGATGATTTAAAATGAATTCCTCATAGTTTCCTAATTACTACTGTAGATCAGATTCCTTAACTATTGAGTACTATAAATATTCTGAAACTAGCCACAAACTTGCCTTTTAAAGGCTGCTAAAACATATCAATTAGACCTAAAATTGGCACGCATAACTTCAAGCATAATTTACCCAAATATTCATATTTATTTATAACATTTTCACATATAATGTAGAAATTAATTCAAATAGTAGCCAACCAGACCTCTCTAAAAGACGTGTAAATATAATATATGATACAAAATTGATAGCTGCTAATTATTCTTGCCCAATTTAGAATGGGTTATGGGTGTTCCTTGCCATGCCTATTTTTTAGGTCACCATCGGGGGATAAGAATTTTCATTCCACAAATATCGGGTAAGCCAGGGGGTGGAAGGGCGTGGTGTCAATCCCAATACAAAGTTCCGAGAAATACATGACAAGTAGGAGAGAGAAATTACAACACTTAACAGAACAACAACAAACACACCAAGATTTAGCTACCAAGTCCCCCTACTAACCGAAGCAACTGTAAGCACAACTTCCTACCATGTGCCACCACCAAAGACATTCCGAAGAGCTCTACACCACATGCAACTGTAAGGTACTGAGTGGGATCCGACAGACGGCAACCAGAAAGCTGCAAGGCATAGAGTCGGAGCCAACAGGCGGTAGCCGTGAGTAGCATCGCCTAGGAGCGCATCTGAGCTCCATCCAACGCCCACCAACACCATTTGGGGAAGGAAGTCTCAAAGGGGGAGGGTCGCCAGGAAGAGAACGAGGAGATCCAGAGAGGAGATCAAGTCCCCGCAACTCATCATATGATGAGGCGAAGCACTCAAGTGATCTAGAGAACGACAAAGCAAGCCTGCACGGGCAAATGTCTGGTTTTCTGGTTATACATTATTTATAAAGATAACAAAAGGATTCCTTTCTGCTGCAGCCTTCTTATTCTCCCTAACACATTTTGTTCCTTGTTCATTGTTCCAGTGCCTCACATTCTCTTTAATTTGCTTAACTGTGGTGTATTGTCACCGTCGGCAACATAACTTCAGTCACATATATGCTGAGAAAGAACCAAGGGACCGACTAAATCAGCCCTGCGATGATGCGGTGGCATTAGTTCCCTAGAATTGAACTCTGAAGGAAGCAGTAGACCCTACGTTGACCTGGATTTTGCCCAGCAGTCGTGCAGCCTGCAGGATAAAAAAGGTCTAACAGCATGTTCGATTGTTGGTTTCAGCCAGGGCTTATCAGCCAGCCAACAATACTTTTCTCTCACAGCAAACCAGCACCAGCTGGGCTTATCATCCCAGAAACCAACCAGCGAACAGGCCGTAAGGCTGTAACGAGGAGCTTATGTGTCAATGTGTGCGAAGTGTGAACTAGGCTAGTTCATGATTTGGTCCGGTCTCAAACTATAACCCATGTAAAACAGACCCCCTGTTTATATCATTGTCCTTGCCATCGTTCTAGGGAAATGGCATGCCCATCATTTCTTGTTTTTTGGAATTACAATATCAGGTCTGATTTTGTAGTTTCTTATATCTTCGCCTCTTCCGTGCCTCCTGTTTTTCGACAGTGGATCGTGGGGCTTGGGGCATGAAAGCTCAATGACGCCGGGCAGGAAGGGCACGTTTGGTTCTGCTGGCAAAACTTACCTCGCCCAGCAAGGAAGGAAACACAAAAACTTGTTTGGATTCTTTGCCCAGCTGCTTCGATCCCTGTCCAGGCAAGCTTTTTCTTGCTAGCTGAGGAGAGCCAGATTGACTGGCCGGGATGGGCAATGTTAGCCTGGGTGTTCTGCCAATTCTCCCCTGGGTGTTCTGCTGTCGTTCTCCTGGACGGGATATGAGGAACAGATGGCTCATACTTGGGGATTTCAACCTCATATACCAAGCGGAAGATAAGAATAATACAAATCTCAACAGGCGCTTGATGGGGTCCTTCAAAGCAACCATAGACAGCCTCCTACTTAAGGAGATCCGTCTGAACGGGGGTCACTTTACTTGGAGCAATGAGCAGGACAGTCCGACACTCACTAGGATTGACAGGTTCCTCTGCACATCTGATTGGGAGTTACTCTTCCCATCATGCTTCCTACATTCGTTACCGTCCCTGATGTCGGACAACAACACTCCACTCCTCTTGCTAGGAGAGCTGCAGCATCACCAAAACTCGTGCTTTCATTTTGAAAATCTCTGTACGAAGATGGATGGGTTCCAAGAGCTGGTCCAAGATATCTGGAACAAGCCGGTGGCTTCTACCCAACCTCTCAAGCGCCTGCACGTCAAACTGTCCCGGGTAGCGAAGGCTATCAAGCGGTGGCGAAAAGAAAAAAATAGGGGACATAAGGCTACAACTCGCGCTCGTCAAGGAGATCCTACTCCAGCTTGAGGCTACACAAGAACACAGAGCCCTCAGCCAAGAAGAACTACAATTGAGACGTCGGTTGAAAGCTCGCAGTGTGGGTCTTGCAGCAATAGAGAAATCCAGAATCGGGCAAAAATCCCGCCTCACCAACATTAAATGTGGTAACGCCAACACAAAACTCTTCCACATTCGCGCAAGCTCAAGGGCCAGGAAGAACTATATCCAATGCCTGCATGAGGACAACGAGATTGCGCTCACACACAAAGATAAATAAATTGTAGTTGGCGACTACTTCAAGAATCACCTTGGCTCTATGGTTCCAAGACCATCCACCTTCCTGTGGTCTGCTCTCGGCTATAATCCCCGCGACCTCTCTCAGCTGGAAGTACCCTTCACCCAAGAGGAAATCAAAGAGACAATCTTTTCCATGCCAGGAGATAAAGCACCAGGCCCAGACAGCTTCACAGGGGTCCTCTTCAAATACTGCTGGGAAATCATCAAGGCTGATATAGCAGCAGCCATCAACACCCTTTTTTATATGAATTCACAAGGTTTTGATCTGCTTAACTCAGCAAACATTGTCTTCCTTCCTAAGAGGCAAGATGCCAGGAGAGCCATAGATTATAGGTCAATCAGCCTAATCCATAGTATCGCCAAGCTCTTCTCCAAGCTACTCGCCAGCAGGCTTGCGCCGCTACTGGACTCCCTGGTTTCAAAATGCGAAAGCGCTTTCATAAAAAAAAGAAGCATACGCGACAATTTCCTCTATGTCTAGAACACTGTTAGAAGCCTGCACAAGTTAAAGACTCTAGCACTATTCATGAAACTCGACATTCAGAAAGCGTTTAACACTGTTAATTGGAGCTACTTGTTAGAGGTACTACAAGCTCTCGCCGGGACCTCGTTGGCGCGAATGGGTCTCCATCTTGTTTCAAGACGACCACCTCCGGCGATGCTAAATGGCGCCCGGGGCCAAAATTCCACCATGCTAGAGGGGTGCGCCAAGGCGACCCACTCTCGCCCATGCTTTTCATCCTAGCTATGGACCCGTTGCAGCGACTGCTTGACCTTGCTACTAGCCGCAATGTCCTTACGCAACTGCCTCTTGCTGCAGCAAAATGGAGGACATCCATGTACGCCGATGATGCGGTGATCTTCATAAGCCCCAAAAAGGAAGACATTGAAGCCATCAAATCCATTCAAGACGCCTTCAGCAAGGTGTCGGGCCTTAGCATAAACATGGATAAAAGTTCTATCCACCCGATCAGATGCGAGGACATTGACCTGGACCATGTACTCTCGGCTTTCTCAGGGACCAGAGGATCTTTCCCTTGTTGCTACCTAGGTCTGCAACTACACA